GCTGAGCCAGCGCTGAGGGGTCTGGGGGAGTTGGGAATGGTCAGGGTGAGGGTCATGGTTGGGCTGGAGGAGCTTCAAGGGCTTTTCCAACCCAGATGATTCCGTGAATCTGCTAAAGCGATCTCCTGTGAGAGCTGGCTTTGGGAGAGAATTCCTCTGGGAAATTCACTTGGCTTTCCTCTAAAATGGACCTTGCAGGGGTGGCTGGTGGGGGCACAAGGCAGGGGAGAATGGAGCCGCAGCCTCTGGGCTGCATCGCTTCTGGTGCTGAGAGCCTGGAAGTCTGTGGCTGCAGAGAGAAAATTCCTGGCTGGCAGGAGGTGAGAGCTCCTGGGAGCGGAGCAGCTGCCCCGCCAGCTGCCCGCTGAGGTTCAGGAACGGGGTTATTCTAAAGACCCGACTGTCTGTAAAGGAAAGAGTGTCCCGGGCTCTCCCCGAGGGCTGCCCTCCTCGGCTGGTCTGGCGGCTGCTGGGTGCTGCCACAGCAGAGGCCAGGGATCACACCGAGACAATCACCCCAGTCCCAGCGCTCGGAAAAGGATTTTTTTTGGGAGGGTGTGGGGGAAGAGCTTTGCAGTGCAGCGCTGGGGTAGCTGCTTCTCACCAACTCTGCATGGAAAGAGCAATGGTGTAACTGCATTTTTTTTGTTGTTGTTTTTTGAAGAGAGGTCAGGGAGAGGTCCCTGCCCCGAGGCCTCCCAGATCAGGGCTCCAGGCAGAGAAGCTTCTCCTGGAGATCCCAGTGTGATGCCAGGGGGGAAGAGCTCTTACGGGGCCATTTCTGGGCAGATGCAAAGGCCTGGGGTGCTGCAAGGGCAAAATCAAAGTTGCAACTGAAACTTAAGAAACCACAGGGATGGTGTGAGTGAGGGTTTTCTGAAACGACTTTGGACTCCGATTTACACACCCCGACCTTGCTTCGGACGAGCCCTAAGTGGACTTGGCCGGGGGGGTCAGGTGGTGTGGGAGCAGCCGTCCCCCCCAAACCCACTCTCCTACTCATAAAACTTAATCAAGACTGACATCTTTAGGGCCCCACAAAGAACAGCAGGAGCACGGGCAGCGAGCTGCCAGGGACAGACCGTGACTTTATTCCGTCTTTAAACATAGCAAATGGCATCTTCTCTAATATCACTGCAAAAATACTTTGCCTGGGTAAAATAGTATGTATATACTGTACAAAGACATAAGTTTAATATATCTTCCTATAAGTACATTTATACACATAAAACAGCATAAATTAGAAAAGGGACAAACGGGTATATAAAATTCTGGTTACGTACAAATCCGATTAAATTAGCATTTACACTGTGGTTCTAACATATAGTTTGTTAAATATAGCGATGTGCATACAGTACATTGACACCCCACCCAGACACGAATTAAAACAAGGGGCCAGGTATTCACTTAAACATACTGTAGGAAAAAGCAGTGGCCCACCTTGGTTTTTTTTTTTTTTTTTTTTTTTTTTTTTTTTTTTCCTCGTCTCGGGGACTCACAAATTTGTTCTTCGAAATTCCTGGCTTTTCCAAAGCTCTTTTCAGCAGCTGTCCTAAGCGCGGATGTTTGCTTCTCATCATGACCTCTTCGCTTTGCCCGGCTGACCTCCACGGCACAAGATTATCTACCAAAATCAAAACAGAATGGCCTTACTTTTCCCAGCAACAGGGTGTGTTTCAAGTTGGTTTTACGCACATGGGAGGAGAAGGGGGAGGGATGTCCTGCAGTGTTTTACTTTCCATTCAAAGGCAGATTTGTGAGCGGTTTATTTATTTACTCTCCCCCTCCCCACATTTACAGTCCTGGGAACAGGAACCATCTGGCTTGGTGATAAGCGTGTCTTGCCTCTAGCTGGCACTGGGCTGAGCACAGCCACGCTTGCGGGAGTTGGATTACTGGGGGTGAAGTCCCTTTGCCTCGCTAAGTCCTCCCCAAAAAGTTCAGCTCCTGGCATGGTGGGAGGGGAACGGTGTGTGCTGTGCATCACCGTGTCTCTCCAGGGTCTGCAGATGGAGCCTGGAGTTAAACGCCTACATGTTAGACTGGATTAGGTGAGGGGAAGCCTCGCCTAAGTATCAGCAAAACCTCTGAGTGGAAGAGTAAAGCAGGTGCACAGAACAGGCAGCAGCGAGGACCCCGAACCCTTCACATCAGCTACTCCCGCCACGGGAGGAGGCTGGGGATGCTGGTGGAAGATGCGCAGCAACGTCTGGCCGAGGCGTGGGCAGAGCTGTGGGGCTGCTGCAGTGCCCCAGCAGGTGCCTCCACAGACACCAACCCCGAGCCAGGGCGCAGATCACCCTTTCACCAGCTCCAGCCTTGCCAGACGTGACCTGCGTCTGCCAGCAGCACGGCTGCGATCCCCATGGCCCCAGCTCCTCCTCCCGGGATCCATCTCTCCACAGGCCTCAGGACCATCACTTGCCCAGTTTGGAGGCACAAGCATTGGCACTGGATCGCACATTTCCCAAGGGGCCTCAGATAATGTACTGACAAGCTGGGCTTAATCCTGCAAGCCCCCGCTGCCCAAAATGCCTGTCAGAGCTACCAGGGCAGGAGCTGCCGAGAGGAAGAAGAGGCTGGTCAGGTTCTGCCAAATTTGCTTATCCCCCGTGAAACATGATTACTGCGAGAGTCTCACTGCAAAATCTACGGCTTTTCCTCTGCTAACAACCAGCTGTTTAAAAAAAAACCAAAAAAACCTTAAAAGCATTAATGTCACATATCCACAATGCAGAATGAGAGAATCACCATCCAGGAAACAGCAAGGAGGAACTTGGGCAAAGACCAGTCCCACGGAGCAGAAGATGCACTCGCAAACCTGATTGCGTGTATGAAGACCTGTGGTCTGGAGCAGAAGGGACGTGTGTGGGCCCCACGCTGGAGCACGGATTTCTCCTCTGCAGACAGCAGCGCTGCCCGCGCGGGGACGTCGTGCTGGCGAGGGCACCGTGGTGCACGGGCTGCTGGAGCTCCTGCTCCTGCCCGTCCGTCCTTCCCGGGAGCTGCTGGAGCTCCTGCCCGTCCGTCCTTCCCGGGAGCTGCTGGAGGCTGCCGGGGGGAGTTTTCATTCTGCCCTGAGCACCCTGTAACCAACACTGCAGGCAGGAGCCACAAGGCAGCAGCATCCTCTGGCAGCACAGGCAGACTGCCCAGTTTTGGAGGTAGCCAAAAATCAATGTGAAAGGTATCTGCATAGCAGGGAGGGGAAGCTGTCTTTGAAGAGCTGCCCGCTGTTTGCAGTCTAGCCCGACTTAATGAAATGGCTCTCCCGATAAAGCCTGCCCATCAACTCTGGTCCTGAAGCTGCCAAGCTTCAGCCAAACGCAGGACAGCTCATGAGTGCCTGGAAAAGGACCGAGCAATCTGCTGGAAGAAATCACCTTTCCTACTGAATCCCAGAAGTTTTAAGGAGATCCCCTGGCTGCATTCCTCAGGTCCACAGAGGCCATCTTGCCTGCTGAATCCTGCAGGATTTCTTTTGTCAAACCTCCCAGCACTACCCCAGATCTGTTCTGGCCGTGCCTTGGTGGGGTGAGCCAAAAGACGAGCGGGCCAAGCCATGCCCTGCCTGGCCCAAAGCACACACCAACAGCTCCTGACGCTGCTGGAAACCTTACCAGCGCAGATAAACCCACAGAAAAGCAGCAGCTGCTCAGGCAGGTAACTAGAAAAACAGCCGTAATTGCCACAACCGTTGGCAGCCAGAGCTGGGTTTGCTCTTCCCATCCCACAAAACCTTCTGACCAGCAGAGTGAGGGCGACGCAGCCTCCTCCTAGCACGACTCCAGCACGGCACCTTCTCTCTGAAGGCTTTAGCCTGCTGTCCACCTCAGTAACACCGAGTTCTTCCTGCATCAGCTCAGCAGACCTGAAAGCGCTTGATCCACCCCATCAGCGCAAGCAAGAGACGTAACTGAACTCGTTTAACCTCTTGGCACAGGATCCTTCAGCAGTCCTGGCACAATCAGCAGCACCATCCACATTCACTCTTGTTGAGGCCACTTTTTATGAGCCCTCCTTGGGCTTCTCATCTCTCCTCTGATCTGTCCCTCCTTCTGTTTAATGAAGAGGCAGTTTTCAGCAATTAGCAACAGATTTTATGTTAGACTGAAGCTGCTTTTCCTCACTTTTAACAGCTGAGCCTCTGAAGTCTTGCTTGAGGTCAGGGGGAAGGCAAGATGTTTCAAAATGGAGAGGAACTGCTGGGTCTGAGCACTGCTGTTTCTCCAAAAGTATGTCCTAAGTTCAAAGCCATACTCGTGGCGTGGGCTGTGGGTGAATATTCCATTTTGTCACAAGTTTTGAGGTTTTTAAATGTCTTTTTGTTGCACACTGGAAAACAAACAAAAACCCTTCCCATGTTTCCACAAAGCAGAATGCTGTCAAAACATTTTTGTTGGATAAGGTCAGGTTTTCTCTCCCTCCTTCTCCGCACAGAAGTGACCGATGCCTGAAACCCCCCTTGAACACGTCACTGAGACCGAACATCTCAGAGCTGAGAAAACAACGAAGTTCAGTGAAATTCAGAGCATCAAAACATCCCGACCAACTCCCCGTATGCACTAACGCAGCGGGAGCCAGCGCCGCGCTAGCTGGCAGACCAGATGCAGAACACATTACCGTCAGCAACGGGGGGGCCAAACCCAAAGTTCTAGCTGCAGGGACTTTATCTGGAAGCTCCAACTGCTAAGGCACCGTATCAGGGAGTATTTTTGGAAGGCGCCTTCCCTCCCACACCACCTCCTCCCTAACGTGACACGTGTGAGTTGCTCTGTCAGGTTCATTACAGCGCAGGATTTTGACAGATCAAAGTTCATTTAATGAAGCACCTGCTGTTGTACAGCGGGGGTCTGGGGCGGCTTTTACACGGCAGAGTCCCAGCAGGAAGGCTCAGTCAGGAGCAGCGTCATTCCTGCTTGCTGGCATTTGCTCGTCCCCAAACCACATGTTCAAGAGCAGGTTCATCAGAAGGAAGCAAAGGATTTCTCTCTGGCCCTGCTGCTCCTTCCAGGGGCCTGGGCCACCAGCTTCTCTGTGGCCACACAACTTTGAGCAGAGGGGAGACATTTTAAATATCCTTCTTGGGTAAGGGAGTCGGACAACTAGAAAACTCTTGTTCTCAGTTTGCAGAAAACTCTTGTTCTCAGTTTGCAGCAGGTTATGTCACAGATAACAAAAGAGAATTGGTCTCAGGTTTATGCGACTTGAATCGGATTTAGGTAGCGTTGTTTCAAAGGGAGTCGTGAGCTAATCGCCTTTTATCTAAATTACACTTTGCATCAGTTAATAGGAAAGTGCCTCACAGAGGTCAGCCTCAGCATATGGAACAAATCCTGGGATCCTGATAAAAGTTTTTACTTCCTCCTTCTCAGGTAAAACTCCAACAGCAGGATATGTAAAAACGGAGTAAGGGATTCAAAAGTCTGCCAAGTCTACAACTTGAAATCCATTACAGTATTCTGCTGTATTAATGCATTGCTATTATGAAGACACCGTTGATTACAACCAGATCATAGCACGGCACCAACATCTGCCCATTTAGGGGTTAGATACTTAACACAATAAATGCGTGTGTCACAGGAAGAGGAGCAGGAGAGACACTGCCAGGCTTAAGTTAGATTTTACAAGGCCAGTATCTTCTTCCAATGGTAACTGATAAAGTGCCATATAAAAATCATTAAACGGTTTAAAATTCATTATGACTTTCATCTTTGTACTTGGAAAAGGGAGTTTTTTCAGTTAACTTGGAAATGAAGAGACTAGTGAGGTTCAGGTATGTCCCAGTTGCATTCCATAAACTAATACCACTGACTGTAAATGCAACAGGGAGTGTGAAGTTTCTATTTCTAAATCATCACAGAATCGTAGAATAAAATGATAGAATGGGTTGGGTTGGAAAGGACCTTAAAGCTCATCGAGTTCCAACCCCCTGCCATGGGCAGGGACACCTTCTGCTAGACCAGGTTGCTCACAGCCCCATCCAAATGATAGTTTTGTTCAAATTAAAGCTATTCCTGGTAATACTGGAAATCTGCGCAAGGCACAAAGGTCAGATCTGGATCTGAACGTCAGTGTGCAGCTGCACTTCATTCAACTAGTTCGTTCAGATCCATCTCTAATTATTAGGTTTGGTCAGCTGTGCCCCATCCCTAGCTGCCATTTAGTGGAGGTGTACTTTTCCTGGCACTGTCCCTATAACTTAATTAGTTATTTTAGGCTTCACAGTGAGCTGGGACAAGGTGGGGGCAACAGTATCTCTTCTGTAAGAGGTTAATACTTTCTTCTTAGCATGAGGGCTGAATTGCAGTTTTAGGGGTGCCGAATGCTCACAGGAGGAAACTCATTCTCGTCATCAAGACACACTGGTCCAGTTGCAAACTCATGCTCTGGGATAACCTCTCCTCGCAGGGCACCGCCGTCCTCCGAATAACCTGTGCAAGTCAAAATACAGAATGTTACGGATAAATGGATGGAAGGAGGCTGGAAACAAACAGTGGAGACACCGTGTTATCACCTTTATAGCCCTGAGCTGCTTTCTCTGGCTTTTTGGCAGAACTCTGGGGGACTGCGGAAGAGAAAGTGATCCCCATGGACACTACAGATTAGGGAGTGGACTACCTGGGTAGCTCCTGTGGCACAGGTTTTCCTCCTCCCACCATGGCTGTAAGCCCCAATTTCAGAGTAAGATCCACATCTGCGTGCGGCCCTTTAGACTTGGAAATATAATGGAGATAGTCACCCAGCCTTCTGCAATAATTTAGTGCTAGCTTCGTTAGGGTAGGGTGTCACAGGTTTGGGAGAACCCGTGGCAATCTTGCCACAAAATGAGTGAGATCTGACTTCTACACCCACGGTTTCAACTCCGGGAAACCAGCCCGGCAGCAGCTGCTGTCTGACACACGGGGAAGCTCGGCCGTGGTGCTGGCTCTGCCAGCAGACCTGTTTGTGGTACGGCTCTCACCGGGGGTGGAGCGCTGGCGAGGGGCCCCAGGAAGCAGAGCACAAAACGCCTGGCCTGGATTTGGGGCAGGGGATGAACCAGGTGAGCTCTAGAGTCCTGCTGCCTCAGTCTGCACTGCGCCTGGGGTGGTTCTGGTTGAACCCTTGGAAGTTGGGAGACTTTCCACTTTGCCGCAGGTGGCTTTTCTGCTCCTGCCTGAGGAAGGGCAGACATGATGCCTACCTGGCATGGTTGAAGTTGAAGGCACTGTACTTTGTCTGGCTACAGTTGCTGCGTAAGATTGAGGTAACGGAGGCCGAAGGTCGTTTTCTTTGTTCTCCTCCGTCTTTCCTGAGCCAAGCAGACTAATTGTACAGGAGCAAGAGAAGGAAGAAGAGTTAGTTCTCATCCCAACCGTTCCTCCCTTAGCACCAGCTAAGACAAGCACAGGCACCCACGTCTCCTTGAAGCACATCACCCATCCACACCACTGCATCCAGGCACTGCCTGCAGCCCTAGCAGCGCCGCCGAGGAGGAGAGCATTGTGCTCTGCAAATAAAGCAGGGGGGGAAACAGAAGATAGGGAAAGCACTACTTCGGCTAGAGGACAATGCTGGCACGAGAATAGAAGGGAAGAGATTGACCACAAAAGCTTTAGGTTACAAAGGCGAACAGTGTTTCTAATCACAGAGGGGGCTCCAAAGGGCTTCCAACAGGAGCGGACTAGATGGGAAAAGCAGCCCTGGCTAGTTTAGGACGGAGTTTGAACAGAGATATAGTATGATGTAACGTAACTCATGACCCAAGGGCCCTTTTCAGTCCTCTGATGCTAAGAGGAACCCACATACAAAGCTGTCCCGCCAGCTCCGGACGGCTGCTTCGGGCCGGGAGCGGGCGGGCGTCAGCGGTGTCTGAGGGCGGCCGGAGCACGCTGGACAGCGCAGCTTTGAAGTGCCGGTTCTTTTGTGGCTTTTCAAAAAACTGCTGGCATTTTCCTGGCTGTCAGCCACCTCCCAGCTTAGAGCACATGTTACATCGCACCCCACCCCAAAGGCTTCACATCTGGAGCCAAGTAGCCCAGATGAGAGGGGGGGGGGGGGGGAGG